AGTACATAATACCACTGGTAAAGAAAAAGGTCATTTTATCCCATGTGCAATTACTGAGGTCGATGTATTGCATCTATCTTTGATATGAGAGCGCAGGCTTTGAAAGGAATTAGACACAGGGTAAACTAACGAGTAACTTTCCTTTATTTCCATTGAGAGATAGAGCGTAGGCCCGTGAGTTTCTTTGGTTTCTTTTCTCATTAAGTCTCTAATTCCAATGGGCTTTGATGTCTTCTTACATGGATTTTCTTTAGTTAGTGCGGGGCTATTTGAGTTGCTTCTTTATATATGTTTAAATCCGTTTATAATGATGGTTTTCTGTCCTGGGATTACTCCTATTCTGCTCATGCTCACTACCCGGGCAATAACGTTTTTCAGAGCCCAAGGAAGATGTTCTGCCTAAAGCCCAACAATATTAAGTCTATTATGACATAGGAATGAAAAAAGCAGCAAAACCTCGGATTTGAGAAGCTGGAACTGGGGGAATATTTGGCTTTCCAATTGGAAATAATTGGTTAAATACAACGAATCAGACATAAAATAGCTGCTGGTTAAATATCCAATTGATTTATCCATATTTTTGCAGCTATAGTAGAGTTATGTACAAATAGCCACAGATCTGAGACTGATTACACCTCCAAAAATAACAATAATCAGACTTCAATTAGACTTCAACTGATTAGAGCTGAACAATTAGTCCAGGATTGATGAATCAATTAAAAGAATTAGTCGGAAAACACTAAACACTTAATCAATTAAACAATTGTTTCTAAACAATCATACTGAAATATTTTCGATGCTCACAGGGGAACATGTTGTGCTTTCATGTGGTAGTGAATCAAATATATTTAGACTAAGCTGAAGTTGATGATTATCTTCATTGATGATATGTAGTTACAAATGTCAGACAAGACTAAAAGACATATAATAATAATAATAACAAAAAAAACACAGGCTGTCATATTAAGAATGCTTGTTTGGTCTAAATGAAATACATTTAAAAAATCCCAAACCTGAAACATATCTGTGCGAGGACTCTTTAAAGTAGAGACACTACATACTGATTTACACCTGAACATCAGCAGGAGAGGACTCTTTAAAGTAGAGACACTACATACTGATATACACCTGAACATCAGCAGGAGAGGACTCTTTAAAGTAGAGACACTACATACTGATATACACCTGAACATCAGCAGGAGAGGACTCTTTAAAGCAGAGACACTACATACTGATACACACCTGAACATCAGCAGGAGAGGACTCTTTAAAGTAGAGACACTACATACTGATATACACCTGAACATCAGCAGGAGAGGACTCTTTAAAGTAGAGACACTAAATACTGATATACACCGGAACATCAGCAGGAGAGGACTCTTTAAAGCAGAGACACTACATACTGATACACACCTGAACATCAGCAGGAGAGGACTCTTTAAAGTAGAGACACTACATACTGATATACACCTGAACATCAGCAGGAGAGGACTCTTTAAAGTAGAGACACTACATACTGATATACACCTGAACATCAGCAGGAGAGGACTCTTTAAAGTAGAGTCACTACATACGGATATACACCTGGACATCAGCAGGAGAGGACTCTTTAAAGTAGAGACACTAAATGCTGATATACACCTGAACATCAGTAGGAGAGGACTCTTTAAAGTAGAGACGCTACATACTGATATACACCTGAACATCAGCAGGAGAGGACTCTTTAAAGTAGAGACACTACATACTGATATACACCTGAACATCAGCAGGAGAGGACTCTTTAAAGAAGAGTTTAGTAGAGTATAGAGTAGGAGTTTGGTACAATCTGTGCTCAGAAAAAGGTTTTTATGTGTTCTTTGGTTGACATCAGTTGTATGAAATAAAAAATAAAAAATAGCACTTAGAGAATTTAGCCCATTAGAAACTAATTCCCCAGCACTAACAATGGTTTGGTTTATTTCAAGCGAATACATTTGCATTTCTCTGAGTTTCTATATTTATTGTTTATTGCACTTATCGCAAGTTGCTTTGAGTAAAAGCATCAGCTAAATGTAATGTAATCTCTGTTCTTAACAGTACCTAATTTCTTCTTCAAATTAAAGGGGACCTATCATGCAAAATGCACTTTTGTACGTCTTTTATACATGAATATGTGTCCCCGGTGTTCCAGGGAACTCACCAAGTGTCAGAAAACACAACCCTCTCTATTTTCCTCCATACCCAAATCTCTAAAAAAGGGGCTGCAACGGATCTGGTAAAAACTGATCCAGATTTGAACACTTTACTGACGTCAGTAAAGTGGCGCTACGGCTATTGGGCCAACTCTCCACCTATCAGGGGAATGTGGGGTTGGGCCACGGCCGGCCATTGCCGCTCGAAAGCGCTGGAGACGCTGTAGTACATATGCCAGGCCTGTAAGTGGCGCTGTAGTCTGCCACAAAAGCAGCGAAGAAGACTTCCCGCCCATAGTTACCATGGTTACCCTTCTGTTTATTCTCCGCTGTGGCTCTTTTTCTCCCTCCCCGAGGCAAGCGTTTGCTCCCGCTGCTTTAATTCAATGCAATCCCTCCCCGTCGAGGCAAGCACTGTAATTCTCTCCGGTTAGTCCACCAGCAGATGACAAACACCCACCTCTCCGCCTCTTCCAAGGAACGAGGGGACCATGCGGCAGAGTTTCAGTTTCAGTTTCTTTCGCCGGTCAAGATGTCCGTTAAAGTTTAAATCTTCCGGACAAAATTAGAAAAGTGCCGGTCAAAGGTCTTCTTTGTTATTTATTGAGCTTTAAAACAAATGAATAACGACTCTATAGGCCTATAATAATATAATAAAACACGGAGGACGGAGATCTTTTTTTTTCACCCTCTTGACTTGATCAGAGCACGGCTCCCCTCTCCTGCAGGGGGGCATGGTCTCACAGAATCAGACCCGTAGACAGCAAACAGCACATAGAGCGAAATGAGGCATGGCTAAAATGCATGATCTGTTTGGTATTTTGAAAACAGAAACGTATAAATATACCTTATATAGGTATGGCCCTACAATATATCATTTAGATATAGCATGATAGGTGTCCTTTAAGTAAATCATGTCGGACACACAAAATTCATCCTCGAGTATAAAAGCGGGAAAGAGCGTTGAGGGTTTTTGTAAAAGGTTTTTGAGTGTACAGTACATTAGGTGGCATCAGTGAGATCCTTAAACCCTCACATTTGTTTTGGGTGATGTGAACATTTTGACAGCCCGGTCTGCTTTCAGTCAGAGGAGGATTCTGGGAAGAGGGCAGTGTTTATCCCGAGGAGGATCAGCACTGGGATAACAGCCTGAAGACGGCTAAACATTAACAGACGGCAGCGAGATTATTCCCACTAATTATCTTCATTACTGACACAAGAAATGTTTTAGGACAACATCAACTGCCCTGATGTTTAATCCCTACAGAAACAAACAATTTCATTACGGATTCATCTGCTAATTATTCTGGAGTGTATATTTCATCAGTATGTTCTATAATATGTTGGTAAAAAGTGGTTTTCAGAGCCCAAGAAGAAGTGTACAGTTTGCTTTCCGTCATTTCAAATCACAAATATATTTAGTTTATGATCTAATAGGAGGGAAAGAGGCAACACAACCTCACATTTTTCGAAGCTGGAATAGGGAAAATGTTGTCTATGTCTATGTCTATTCACTTAACCAGTTGAGCCCTGAGCCTGTTTTTCAAGTCTCAGTTTTCAAGTCTCAGGCTCGAAAATTACATTCCCAGAACAAATGACTATATTATCTTCACTTCTAAAAGGGGTACATTAATAATCTTTTTTCTCAAAGCAATGATAAACCTGTGAGTTGGATGTAGAAAAGTCAGAATCAATATAGAATTTTTTAATTTTTAAGTAAATTCAGATTGAACATAGTAAAAAAACGTAAATTATAGTGTCCGTCCAAAAAGAAAACATTAGGCTACTTATAGTGAGAACCACCCTTGAATGATGGGATGGTAGACTAAAAGCTTTAGGAATCCAAACTATAACATATAATAAGTACCCTGTATCAAGATTGATGCAAAACAAATGACATTTTACCTAGAGAGATATAGAACGAACTAGCTATCAAGAAATGTACTTGGTAATTTCCATTTTTAACATATAGATTCTAGGATTTCCTATAAAAAGCCGGAAGTCTGTGAATGATTGCACTTGCAGTATTAACAATCATAATCAAACTTCACACTTCAACTGATTAGAGATGAAACAACCAGTCCATCATTGATTAATCCACAGAATAAATAATTGCTAACACTTTTCATTATGATGTAGGCCATTGCATTTTCTCAAATGTAAATATATGGTGGGTTTTGTATGACAGTAAATTGGTTATCTTTTGACTAAGGCTGGAGTTTATGATTTAAAAAAAATTAATGATTCATAGTTACGTCTTTAAAATGTCAGATAATAGTACAAAATATATATATTGTAATTCTAAAATATAAATAAAAAGCCAAAGTGACATTGAGAATTCAGGTGTGGTCTGAAAGATAATAAAAAAAGGCAAAGCTGACAAGTTAGGATTTGTTGTCTGGTCTAAAAACAAATAAATAAATACATAATAAAAACCAAATCACAAACCTATCTTATAGGACTTCAAATGCAATAAGATTTGGGGATTTTTTTTTTCACATGACATAATCATTAAATCAAGCTTACACTAAGACATCAGAAAATAAACGACCCTAAAGTAGGACAACTCCACACACATGTCCATATAAGGTAATAATATAATGTTATGAGCAATATAAATGTGATATTTCACCATTAGTAATGACAATAACAATGTCAAATCTCGACATGTATCTTTCATTTTTGTCATCCAGGTGTGCAATTGAAATTAGTATTTGTGATTTACATTTTAATGCTAGAAACCACAAATTAATAGTCAGCATAATTTGTGTTTGATATGAAATCGTTTGCATTAAAACATCCCTGTAAGTAAGTAGATAAAAGACTCACCATGAGCAGAAAGGTGGAGAAACACAAGGTGAGAAAAAGCAAACTTTTCATGTTTCCTCCTCAGGTTGAATCCTCTCACAGGTCCTCACGCAGGTAATAAATAAAACCAGGAGTCCGGACTTCATTTAAAATCCACTTTAGACTTCTCCATCCCGACAACAGGGTCTGAATACTGTTTTAATTCCATGAAAGTGCAGAAAAAACGGATGAAAATGCATGAGAATCCAGTGATGGTGTGTATCCCCACTGTTTCCCTCCACTGAGTTAACGTGCAGAGAGAGATCAGTGACCTGCAGACAAGTCTCCAACGATGAGCACAGAGACTTCCGGTGCTGTATTTCAAAATAAAACCTTAATTTACCTTCACTTCCGGAATCCCCCCCCCACCATATTTGTTCTCGTTTACGATGGAATTTTGATTGTTATGATACAACGACAGATATTTGGAAAATACTTATAGTTGCTATTTGTTTGTTATCCTTTTTGTCCCTGAAATAATTACATGTATCTTGTAAGCCTACATCCTGCACGAATAGAGAAGAGATGGTATTTTTTTTTTTCTTATTTGGCTTTTTTATTTGGGCAAGTAGACTATATTAAGTCAAGTAGCCTAATAAAACTTAAGTACGATTTTTATATATTGTTTCCATACTACATTTTGGAAGCAAATATTGTACTTTCTACTGTAATATTGTACTTTTTTTTAACTTTACTTCTACTATTAAAAATATCACTATACAATTAATAAAGTTTCTTCACATTTACATATTTCATTCAATGCTTTGAACATTACCTAATCATTAATACGCCTTGTTCTTTTATCTTACAAAAGACATTGTTAAATAGGCCCTATTATGCTTTGTGGGATTTTCCCTTTATAGTGTGTCATATGGATTTCTGTGCATGTAAATGGTCTGCAAAGGATCCCTTTGTTCCCTCCAGATGGAATTTTCTTTCTCTTTTTGAACATGAAAGCATGGAGACATGTCCCAGAAGAGGCACTAAATACAAATATGAACCTGAAAATGAGCAGAATGTGGCCTCTTTAATTGGCCCATGATGCTTACCACCTGCAGTTCACAGTTTATCCACTTCTTTATTACCAAAAGACTACAGACGGCAGCGATCCAGTACTCTTTTCATCCCCGCCAAATCATTTCTGTGCGGACTATCAGAGCCAAACAGAAGCCCTGTGTTAGATGTTTTCCCACAATACACTGAGAGGGGGGGGGATAACAGGGAGCCAGGGTTTGTTTGTCTAAATCCAACTGTGAAGTCTGGATCCAAACACTCACTCACCCCACAACAACCCTGTTACCTTGAGTAACCCATAACCCTAACTCTAAATACATTTGAAATTATTTCACTTTTCGGTTAGACATTTGAAGAAAAAATGGTGTGATGCGCAGCTATTGTGCCTATTCTTTTCTTTCTTTAAAAGAGGATAAAACCATTTTTGGACGTTTATGAATTTGTGTAAATAGTTTCTAGTTTGCATATTAAGCAAATGGAATTGTGTGTGATGTTAAATGGAGTTCATATTAAAGCCCCCTTAATGTTGTGTCAAAAGAGTTCATGTGGAAGCCATGGAAGTACATTTATTGGTTTATAATAAACAAATATATCGTATTTTTTGTCGTAATGAGTTTGCTTTTTCATTTCATAATATGGTGGAGGAAAATATTGATATATTCATATCATTTCATGTTTTCCCTCTGTCATTATGCTTTTGTGGTTCCTAAATTGCGTTATTTGTATTCCACATTTGACATTTGCAGCATAAAAAGTGTTAAGTGCAAAGGCTAAATGCTAACAAATATGGATTAAAGCAGACTTTTTGGTAGCAAGAGTGTATGTGCATTATAAACCCATCCTAATCTGGTTAATGTTCCCTTCAAATAGCAGGAAAATATGGCGCCCTTGGCTTTAGACCAGGTTTTTTTTGGTTACTGGTGCTCAAGCTAGCAATATGTTAAAATGAGATATGTTCAGGCAGTCTTTTTGACTGCCTGAACATATCTCATTTTAACATCAACACTACCATGTGCACATACATGGGCACAATACAGTATGATACTTACACAATGTTGGCACTTAGCGTTAAAAGGACAAATGCGTCATTCTGAAACTAGCTATGACTGTTGTACTGCGCGGATGTGAGAAAGGGCGCTCTAAAAGAAATATGTATCCACTTCAATGAGTCTTTCAGATTTACAACTAGATTATGAAAGTCTTTCTTTGAAATCTAGTAAAGTTCATTGGGGAAACACACAGTTTATCAGCTGAAGTCACTTAAGAGCCAGAGAGAGTGGAAACTTTATGATTCAGTAGGAACTCTCAGGACATTAATACATGCTCCCCTCTCTTTTTATAAATGCACATATCTCAGTACATGGTTTCTGTCCTGGCAGCTACCAGCTGTGGGCGAAAGTATCAACAAGACATTAATATGAGCAGACAGAAAACGTAAAGCAGTCCCAGTACTTTATGACTTGTGTATAAACCCGGATTTAAACAGCGTGACGTGTTAAAAAAAAACTTTAACATAGTAAACCCTGAGCCAGATAAGGGCTAGAACTTATCATTAAGTTTCTCAATTCTTATTTATTTTGTATTTTTGATATTTATGATTTATTTTTGGCACATTTTTTATTCCAGGGGAAAATTGGGTTTGCGAAAGTTGCTTCATTCAAGAAAAATAAATCAAATAAATATTTTTAATTTTTTTTTAAAAGGTGCAAAAAAAAAAAGATAAAACATAACAAATATTTTACATATTATATAAAAATAAAAAGTGAAAGATACGTTTATTTTATAAATATATTTATATTTACATAAGACGTTTACAATTGTACACATTGCAATACAATATATAACTCAAATAAACTTTAAGGAAATCTATTTTTCCTCAAATTTTCTAATGAATTTAAATTCAATTCAAAGTGGCTGTATTGGTAAACATTTCAAGAAAATGGTTTGCTAAAGCATCGGAGTACACAACATTTTTTTCCCTCTGTCTCGAGCTCTGTAAAGAGGAAGGGCGTTGTTGGTTCCAGTCATTTCCCTTATAAGGTTTTCTGTTGCTTGTCATGTTTTTTTTTTCTTTCTACAGTAAATGATTGTTTTGCTCTGATTTGAATGTATTCACCTCCTGGAAAAAATACACTGTAGTGAACAGCTTAACAACTGCGAGATAAAAATAAAAGTTTTTATTATTTTAAATATTGCTCACATTTCAGTTTCGAGTTGGAAAAGAAAATTAAATTGGTAACTAATTATCCTTTTTGTTGAGTTGAGTTTCTTACAATATACTATGTGGAGATTTACTTTCCAGTTAATTAATTATGATAATTCATCCATGTAACTGAATGATTATTTTTGTAGTGCTTAGAATACTCCTTAACGGCACTCCAACATGAATAAGGTATGCAAATGTCTCTTTCAATAAACAATATATCAACTCAACTGTGTCTGCAGACTCCCCCCTTTTCTCCAGAATGTATTTTATAGTCTTGATGTGGATTTATACTCTATACAAACACTACCATGACATCTAGTGGGTAATCACGCTCTGTGCAAACTCTGCTCAAAAACTCCTCATTTACAGTCCACTTCAAGATGGTATCTTTTAATTTTACATAGAAAATTAGAGTAGGCTGTCTAATTTATACTGTAAACTAATGAGGTCAATAGTAGTGTAAGCTCCCACATTACAGGCAACAGATAGGATGAAATGGTCAAAGGTCAAAGGCTTGTATCCCTGATGGCATGTGTAAGGGGATTGGTAAAGTGTGATGGGAAAATAGTTGAAGCCTCACTAGTTGTATATTTTGACCACACCACAAATAACAGTTTTGCATATCTGAGATATAAAAATAAGTATATAGAAAGATCAATCAGGGAAACATCATGTTTAAATAAGACTGTAGGCCTACGTGGTTAGTAGTAGCCTATCGCACGGGCTGATTCCTGTAGCATTTAATTTAGATTTCATATATTTAAATTTGACTACTTTTAAGACAATAGGCCTACCAATAATTGTATTATTGGTATTGTCCTACAATTAATGATTTGTATAGGGAGTGGGAACAAGGCAACTGAACAAGCAGTAGAGGATCAATTACCCCGAAATATAGCTAAATTAACATATTTACTGATACCTGACCCCTTAAATGCAGTTTACAATTTGTGGGACCTTGTAGGCCTATTATTTTTGTTAAAATATAAAAATGTTAGACCATTGAGACAACTTTGTGTGTTCGGATGTTCGGATCCAAAAGAAAACCAACAAAAATAAAAAAAACTATGGACATCCTACTATTAGGCCTACAATAAAACCACTTGTTGGACTTAATATTAACTATATTTAGGCTATTTAAAAAATAAAATGTTTTGAAACAAGGAGAGTTTGGATTTGTTATTTGAATATGGACAGTTTGGTCTTGGATGTGTTTTGGGAGAGATTTTAAGAATATATCTAGGTCTAGGTATAACAACATATCGTCAAATGTGGACTAAATTGACATTACAACTACGAAGACTGCTCAAATATCGTATTTGTGAAACTTTGACAGTTGGAGAAGAAGCACCATTTTCTCTCCACAAGATGGCGCCCAGGTCCGCCGTTATGTTTGTGTTTTGAAGCTCCCTCCCTGTCTGAGGCTGACCTTCTTCCCGCGATGACAGTTTCCTGCAGGCTGTCCGCCTCACAGCGAGATGTGCTGAAGGGGAAGACGGGGTTATCTGAGTTAAAGCTGCTCGGCATGCTGTGGACTTGAGAGGAGGAGTGATTTTTTACTTTATTTTTTAAAGGGAAGGACGAATGTCGATACTGGTGAGTGTGTTGTTTGATAAATAAGTAGTTTTTTTCCGGCTAGTGTTTGGTTTACGCAGCTCCCGATACGTGTCACTTTGCGGAGAGAACGTCACGAAAGACTCCCTTCAAAAGAATGGGGAATAAAGAGATCAATTGCTTTATTTGTAATTCTACGCACTGTAGGCAAAAACGTATACACAATTTAGATTAAGTAGAATGTGATCTTGTATTCGGCATATATTTAATCTAGCGAAACACAATATCTTTCAGTAAAAAATGTACTTTAGTTAACAAATGTACACTTTACGTTGCAGTGTGTTTTGATGGCAGAAGATTGCGGAGGCAGCGGTTGAAGCACTTTTAAAAGTCAAAATATTACAGAAAAGAAATTGTGTAGGTGTATTACGTTAATGCCGAATTAAAAACGATTGTGTAACATTACGAATGATATATTACGTTCTCACTTTTGAAGTAGCTACTGCTGACATTTTCCACAGGTAACACAAATGTGCTAATATTGCAATGGAGTTTCGTATGACGTCCTCCCAGACAAGAAGGTAGACAGTGGAATAACATGTATTAATATGCCATTTGGAAATGTTTTGGAGACTAAAAGAGTATTATTTGAATGCCGTTAGGTAATATTCGGCTCTAATGTGGGTGTTGTGTAGTCAACTTTTTACTGCATAGGCTACTTGTTGAAGGGGAGTTACTGTAACATGGAGCCTCAATCTGGGTTAGGCCCGATATCTATTGTAGCCTTTTTAATATACCAATCATTTAAATACTGTTAAATTGTATTTTTGGAACCTATAACATCTTTGTTTCACAGGAAGTGAAATATGTTATACATTCACCCCCTGGTGTGCTGTCCATACACTTCTCATCAGTGTTGGCACTAATCAAATAACCAGTTAGTAAGACACATAATCTCAATGGTACATTTATGAGCCTCAACAGTTGGCTTGTTTTATTCTGTCATGCTTAATGTTGTTTTATTCCTTAGGGTATAACTACAGCATGACTGTGTCGTCATTTTCTGACCTTTGGAGATAGATATTGTGCATCCTGACCAAAAGTCAAAGAAAACTTTATTGTCAATTTCTCTGTGTGTGCTACAGACAGAGAAATCCAATTGCGTTTGTTACCGTCCCAAATAATAAGAATCAATACACATACATACACACCTGAACACCCAATTTAATATATACAGATATATGGACACATAATTAAGAGGTATACAATAAAAAAAGAATGCATAACAATAAATGTCTACAAATGATGCTTCGACTTTGTAGGTTTGTTACAAGATTCAAAGGTTTTATTGTCATATGCACAAAGCTATAGTGTAGAAATGGCAATGAAATTATTCTGACCTGAGCTCCTCCAACAATGCAACATATATAATAAAATACTAAAATACGAAATAAAAAGTAGTGCAAAAAGTCTATATACATGTAAATAGAATATGATATGTACAAGAACAGAATATGAAATAAAATAATGTAAATTAAGACAAAATTAAATACGGTTTATTGCGTGGATAACTATTTATATAGATAAGTATATTGCATGACAAACAGGAATGTTTATCGGGGCACTTAGCAGAGCTCAGGTGTTTAGCAGACTGTATAACTTTTCCTGTTTTTAAAATGTCGTTCCAGTGGTGAAATGACTAACAGGATGGAGGGTTCTTCGGCCCCAGGAGCCAAGGCGAACGGACCCATTGCAGCGCCCAGCAGCCCAACAAGCTCCAAAATCGGTCCGCCACTGTCCCCAGATGACCTGGACGATGGGCCTCAGTCTTCTCTGACTGATGTCACCCAAATGTGGATTACATTCGTCAAGACTTTCGCCATCATCTTCCCCATCTACGTCATGGGATACTTTGAGTTCAGCTTTAGTTGGGTTCTGATTGGACTCGCCATGTTGTTCTATTGGAGGAAAAACCACGGCACTAAGGACTACAGGATAAACCGAGCCTTAGCGTACCTGGACCATGAGGATAAAGTATTGAAGCAGAGTGTGCCTACTTCAGATCTACCACCATGGGTAAGTCTTCCAGTGTTGTTACAGGAGTTTCAGGCTTCACCCCTCTCTTGGGCGTTCTTCCACCCTGCATGACGACTTTTAGGATGTCAACATTGAGTGTTCGCCTGCAAAACTGGCTGATAGGGATAACCTGCCACAACCAAAATGAAACTAGTTAGTCTTCACTCAAATTAAATATACATGTATTTTTCTCTTAGGGAAAACCTTGGATAGCACTATCCTACTTTCTTAGTTTGAGAAAAACAGATTTCTTGAGTATGTTTCCACATTTAAAGAAATCAAAGGACGAGACAAGTACCTTGTCATTTCCTTGTTTGGGTCTGTGGTTAGCCTTTCAAAACTCTTGCGTGTGATGTGTTCAAACTGGACGATTTAGCTGGACTTATTTCAACTTATGAGACTTGTTGTTGACTAACACTCAGCTGCAAACATTTTATTGGTGAAAAAGCAGTTTTTGGGGGAGTTAAGCTTGCAACAAATAGAGAATAATTAACAGTTTTTGGCAGTTGGCTACTCCCGAATGGCCAGCAATGTGAAACCATAAATTACCAACTTCATTTCTTGTCTTTGGATAATATTTTCTGGTGTTTAACCTACAAAGACCAATATGTTTGCAATCAGGGATCAATGTATTCATTCATCTCTGATTTCATTTGAATCTACAGGACAAATCAAATGTGGTTGCTCCTTAATGATGGTCTCATTAATAGCCTCCGGAAAGGTCACCCATTTTGCACACAAGCTCCCCATCAGTTCTATGAACTAATCAGTTTTTGAGCATTTCCATCGTCAGAGGCACCCGAAAGTGTTGGGAGTTTTCAATGAATAATTAACACATGGCCTCTGAGCCGACAGGGTGCCCGACGCTGGCACTGGTAAAAGCAGGAGAGCCATCAAACCTGTTCTTAATTTTCACTTTCCGTGTTCTTCCCCCTTGGCGTAGTTCCCTGTGACACATTTAGAAAGCTGTGTGAAGGAATAGGAGGTCGACTTGCTTCACGGCTACAACATAGCTGCCATTCTCCGTCTCAACATGTGCAAGCTTATCCTGCAAAAAATGTTGGTTCCCAAAGTGCAAGAAGGAATGGAGAGGAGTCACAGTGAGCCAGTAACATTTGCTTGTCAGAGCTTACTTTGCAAATTATCTCTTTCGGCCCGTGTTGGCTGAGAGTACAATGCTTTTCCCAAAGCCTTTTTTTTTTAGAGCAGGGCAATAGATAGAAGACTTTAGTTCAGTAATGGTTCCATTTATGATTTTCAAGCCTTATTAAATACGCATCACACTTAAGGGGTTTTCAAATGGTGTTATTCTGTAGGGCCATAAAGTCAAATTGACCTGACATATCTCTGATCTTCCTTTTTCTAGTGAAGGCCAGACGATAACACAGAATTCAGGACAAATTGTTTTCATTTTGATTAGTTGTGTGCTCGACCTATCTCTGCATGCATGATAGAAACCTAATATTGTATTGTAGTTTACCTTTACAAAACCACATTTTAGCTAATTTAATAGAACAGTTTAATCAACATAATAAAGCCGCTATTAAGTATATGGATTTTGTTATTACTACTCTAAAAACAAGTTTATTTATATGCAAGTATTATGTTGACCTTGGTACCATTATCTGTTATTTGTAATAGTGGCACCTTTTTTAAAAGCATTCCTGCTGAGTGAATTGGAGCATTTTAAAGTGACCTTACTTTCCCAGTTAGTCTTGTGAGTTTTCCTTTTTTGTATTGCTGGTGTTGGTCCATATTCATTTAATAGTGTCAACAATGATGTCAACAAAATGTGTAGTTGAACATCAATATTACCAGCAACCCACACTTGATCTATACCATCATATTTTATGTGGTCTATTTTTTAAATGTAATTATGAAGCATTTCATACCAGACCCTTTCAGTGACTTGAGAGATTTAGACAGTGCCTCGGTAATAAAGAGGTTCCCAGTCTGCCATCATATTTTAGTTTATGGCTGATGATGCTGGAAAAACTGTGGGAGGCTGAGTGGATGGCAGGCTGCCAGCGGGACTCAAACCCAGCCACAAAGCATCCCATCAACACATCCATTATCACACAGACCTTGAGAAACACAGAACTCAGCAATAGAGTGGTGCAGTGATGATGTGTTTTTGTAGGCTGACCATAACACAAGGGCTCCCTCCATTAAAACACAATGGGATTTTCCATTGGGTTTTTGAATATATGTTTCTGATAATGATATGTTTTGCTCAGAAGGATAATCTCCACATATTAACACCACTTTGTAATTGTTGAAGTGTAAATGCAATCTCCAGAAGTAAAATGCTAAACTTGGCTTTAAACAAACTACATCACGGTCACATGACACATCACCACCGCTTACCTTAAGGCGGATAATGTTCGGCGTGATGACGTTTAGTCTTTGTTTTTTCCATTGGTTTTCGATAAAATTGCAGAATATAAGCTCTGTGTAAAAAAAAAAACGTTTATGATGCTTACACGTTTTATTCAGCAGGATAATCTCCAAATATTAACACCACTTTATGATTTCTGAAGTAAAAAGCTAACGTTATGCTATAAAGGAACTACAGCACGGTCGCATGACTTCACAACACCACCGCTAAGCTAAAGGTGGCTAATGATGGGATTGATGACGTTTAGTTGACTCATTTAGACACTTGTTAGCAATCGCTGTTTTTTTATGTCGTAGAACAAAACATTTAAATCTCTTCTGCTTACAGTGTTTCCCACATAATTTGATTGTATTTGTGGGGGCACCGCACCCCCCCCTCCCCCCCGGCAAGAAAATCCAAAGGCCCCTTAACCTAGGGCTGTGCGATTATGGCAAAAATCATAATCACGATTATTTTGGTCAATAATTGATATCACGATTATTAAATACGATTATTCATTGACTTTGAAAACATCCATTTATTGAACTTTTAAATACAAATAATAATTTGAACAGTATCTTATAACTGTTGATTTCCCTGAACGTATAATTCAACTGAAAAACCAATACAAAAATAAATGATACATAAATAATATAAAAATAATAAATACCAATAAACAAGATCAACAAATATTTTGGAGTGCACTTCAACAAGCTACTAAACATATATAAATATGATAAATACAAATACATTTGATCAAATATGTTGCAGTGCACTGTCACAACCTAGCAAAGCAAAATAATCGTTTTTTTCGATTATGTTGTTTTCGTAATTGTGGCAGGCCAAAATCGTAATTGCGATTAAAATACGATTAATTGCACAGCCCTACCTTAACCTATTTGGGTGGCCCACGCATCCACCCCCCCCCCCCCTCAAATAAGAAAATACATGCGAGTTCATGGCTACTGTAGCAGAGAACGTTCTTGTTGCTCTGTGTTGCGTTGTTAATGAGTGAGACACACCGGAGTTGAGGATCTGTGGGGTTTATTCTCCCAAAAATATAATTTACAATTTAGGCATTTAGCAGACGCCTTATTCCAAAGTGACTTACAATGACCAATTACAGGGACATTCTCCCTGGAGTAACTGAGGGCCTTACTCAAGGGCACACTAGTAGTGGTGTTCCAAGCGGGATTTGAACTCGCAATCAGCCCACCTCACTATCCATTAGACCACCAAAAATATATATATATATATATATATATATATATATATATATATATATATATATATATATATTTTTGGTGGTCTAATGGATAGTGAGGTGGGCTGATTGCGAGTTCAAATCCCGCTTGGAACACCATATATATATATAACATATATATATAACATATATATATATATATATATATATATATATATAATAAAAAAAAAAAAAAACATTGGCGTTATATTAACCACAGACCTTATTCAAGTAATCTTACCAAAAAAAAGCCCTTGACTTCAAGTAGAGGGAACTTGTAAGTGCTTAAATGCTGACTAATTTCTAGGTTTAGGACTCATTCCTGCACCAATCTAAAGCCTGGGCCCAATACAAAACGATCAGCTATGTTTTTGTCTACAAAGTAGAATAAGGAAGAGACAGAGTGTTGGTAGAGCAGCTGTCTTTTTTGTTGTTTTAGGAGTCAGCTAGCTTATCTTTTAGTCAAACATTTTTTAACCCACATCAACGGGACTAATGACGTTTGAATGTATAAACCAAACAATGGTGATTGGCAGCTCATTGTTTTTGCCTGATTAAAGGGAAACTGACACACAAGCGAGTGAAAGTACGTCTGAAGGATTAACATGTCTTACTGATTACCAATCAGCTGTGAACTTTGACCCCTGAAAGACACTCAGACACTGTCAGTCTGTCCTTAATACAGTATAAGATACCTCTATCACACTGACCTCAGAACCCAATGATTAGAAGCTTATAGAAGACCTTGAGTCAGCGTGAAATAATCGTAGTTAGGAGCCAGTTTGTGTTACTGACAGATTACTCGTTGGTAAAATGAGGATCAGGAACAAATACTTTCAAATTGCCAATCGCAACTTCCCAATGTGCAGGTTGAAGTCTTAAAGTTACTTTTTTGTCCAATACTTCGAAATTCTCGCATTTAAAAACCTAATCTCCAACAAAACATTTCCATTGAATGATTAAGTGATCAATCAAACAACTCCCTAATTTAATGTGACTAATTCCATCCAATCTAGAACACTTTCTCTAACTGTTCTGCCCTGAAGTTTTTTAAACTGAAGGTCCCTAAGCATTTCTCATTTGTGGTTAATGTCCTGCCAAAGTGGCTGTTCGTACTTTAGTAATCTGCTTAAACAAAAGAGCTTTTGATTGTAATTTCTAAGGATTATGTAAAGATTAACGCCCCGATACCAAGAGGTATTTTCAATGGAGTGAGGTAATTGTTACCTCCTTAGGCTTTGTGTCATCAAGGCTATGAAATCACAGAAAATAGTCCACAAATCTAGTAATTTCCAGGGCCCAATGTTAAACATTTAGGCCCCATTTACACGGGAAAGCAAACGAACCAAATTCGATATCAAAAAAGTATTCCGTTCACAC